CAAAACTTTATAAGCTGGTACAATTTCTGGACATTTAAATTTATAGTGGAACCAAAACATGTTTCTGGAGAAGTCTTTTTTTTTCTTTTTGTAATAAAAATTGTAATCATTGGCCGGGTGCGGTGGCTCACACCTGTAATCCAAGCACTTTGGAGGCCAAGGCGGGTGGATCACCTGAGGTCAGGAGTTCAAGATCAGCCTGACCAATACGGTGAAACCCCATCTTTAAAAAAGAAAAGAAAAGAAAAATTGTAATCATTTATTATTATTATTTTTAAGATAGAGTCTCGCTCTGTCGCCCAGGCTGGAGTATAGTGGCGCAATCCCAGCTCACTGCAACGTCCACCTCCCGGTTCAAGCAATTCTCCTGTCTCAATCTCCCAAGTAGCTGGGATTACAGGCATCCACATCTGGCTAATTTTTGTATTTTTAGTAGAGGCGGGGTTTCACCATGTTAGTGGGCTGGTCTCAAACTCCTGACCTCAAGTGATCTGCCCACCTTGGCCTCCCAAAGTGCTGGGATTATAGGCATGAGCCACTGCATCTGGCCCAAAAGTTGTAATTATTAAAAACAACATAAACACACTATAGGAAATCAGAAAAACAAAGCAAAGAGAAAAACATTCATAATACCTTTTGCTAAAAATCAACTATATCACAGTAGCGTACATTCTTATTATTTGAACTGTTTTTCATGGTTGTAATCACATGGTTATTTTTGTCATATGATAATTTTTGGTAACTTGTAAGTTTTTTTTCCTTTCTATAATGCTACCTAACAGTATTTTAAGTAACTGAATAATATTCCATTCAGCATATATTTGAACTAACATCCACTTTATTCCAACAAGTAGTCTATTTCCATTTTATGTTGTTATTATAAGTAACACTAATATAAACATAACTTGAAATACAGCTTTTTTTTTGAGACGGAGTCTCACTCTGTGGCCAGGCTCTCAGCTCACTGTACCTCTGCCTCCTGGGTTCAAGCTGTTTTCCTGCCCAGCCTCTTGAGTAGCTGGGATTACAGGTGCCTGTCACCACACCCAGGTGATTTTTGTGTTTTTAGTAGAGACGGTGTTTCACCATGTAGGCCAGCGTGGTCTCGAACTCCTCACCACAGGTAATCCACCCACCTTGGCCTCCCAAAATGCTGGGATTACAGGTGCGAGCCACCTTGCCTGGCCCTGTACTTCCAATTTTTCTTTGGAAATCTAAAACCAGGACAGGCCTGATGACTCTTGGCTGGAATTCCAACACTTTGGGCAGCCAAAGCATAAGTATTGCTTGAGCCCAGCATTTCAAAACCAGCCTGGGCAACACCTTATCTCTACAAAAAGTAAACAAAATTAGCTAGGCATGTTGGCACATGCCTGTAGTCCCAGCTACTCAGGAGACTGAGGTGAGAGGATCACTTCAGCCTGGGAGGTTGAGGTTACAATGAAATGAGAGCATGTCACTGTACTCTAGCCTGGGAAACAGAGTCAGACTCTGTCTCAAAAAAAAAAAAAAAAAAATTAAATAAAATCTGAAACCCAAAAGTCTAAATACTATTGATCTCATCAAAAAAAAAATTTTTTTTTTTTGAGATGGAGTCTTGCTCTGTCGCCCAGGCTGGAGTGCAGTGGTGCGATCTTGGCTTACTGCAACCTCCACCTCCTGGGTTCAAGCGATTCTCCGCATCAGCCTCCCGAGTAACTGGGATTACAGGTGCATGCCACCATGCCTGGCTAATTTTTTGGAGTAGAGACAGGGTTTCACCGTCTTGGCCAGGCTGGTCTTAAACTCCTGACCTCATGATCCACCTGCCTCAGCCTCCCAAAGTGCTGGGATTACAGGTGTGAGCCACTGCACCCAGCCAAAATCTTTTTACCTTTTTTTTTGGAGACAGAGTCTCACTCTGTTGCCCAGGCTGGAGTGCAGTGGTGCTCAGCTCACTGCATACCTTCACCTCCTGGGTTCACGTAACTCTCCTGCCTCAGCCTCCTGAGTAGCTGGGGCTACAGGTGCATGCCGCCACACCCAGCTAATTTTTTTGTATTTTAGTAGAAATGGGATTTCACTGTGTTGCCCAGGCTAGTCTCGAACTCCTGAGCTCAGCAATCTGCCCACCTCATCCTCCCAAAGTGCTAGGATTGCAGGCATCAGCCACCACGCCTGGCCTTTTTACCTTTATGAATGAAAAACTGAGGTTCAAAAAAGAGTGGCGATGTACCCAAGCTATTACTGTGAGACAGGAGGTTATTTTTTTCACCTTGTGATCACACAGTTTAGTCTCCAAAGGCTTGTAATTCCCCATTGAGAAACACTCAGGAAATTCCTTATAAGCCTCTTTAGGGAAATTTGCACTTTTCAACTGACTAGGAAAACAGCAGCTGGGCTTTTCTGCCTTAATTGCTCATATGTCCACCATTATAATAGAAGAGAAAACCAGTAATCACTATCACTTCTATATGTCTTATTAAAGAAAACCAGAGCTGGACAGTGGTCGAAGCAGTACAAGTAGATTTTATTCAGGAACTACTGCACTAGGTGAAAAAAAACCTCAGTTTCTTTGTGCTCAATTCCAAATACAGTAAGGACAAGTGGGGTTTTATAGCCAAGAAGAGGAAGGGAATCAGGGGCTGGAAGATCAGGAATCTGAAACATCAGGTTAAAGGGAAATTCTGGCTAAACTGATTTGACACAATTCTTAGGATCAAATCAGGATGATCAAACATCACCTGGAGGCTGGTGGAAGCTGAGGAATTTAATCAGACATCAAGGGTGGGGAATTCTTGCTAAACTGACTTAGCAAGATTTTTGCTAAAATTGGGTGATGTAAAGGAGGACCAGAAGTCCAGAGGTGCAGGCCTAGTTGAGAAGAGGGTTCACAGAAGCTTGAGTAAAGTTTGGTCAAAGAGAGAATGTCAGTCTGTTGTTTGAAGAATGAAGCTTTCCTACATGGAAAGGAAGGCTGATAATGAGCATTTACTTCATAGCAGTGTTTGTCCTTCTTCCCCTCCAATCCCTGTACAACAGGAAATTAGTTTCAGAATACACTGAACTCAGGAGCACCCCCCAGGGTAACTTAGAAATGTGTCCCAGTGGCCGGGCATGGTGGCTCATGCCTGTAATCCCACCACTTTGGGAGGCCCAGGTGGGCAGATCACCTGAGGTTGGGAGTGTGAGATCAACATGGCAAAACCAAAAAATACAAAAATTATCTGGGCATGGTGTCACATGCCTGTAAGTCCCAGCTACTTGGGAGGCTGAGGCAGGAGAATTGCTTTAACGCGGGAGGCGAAGGTTGCAGTGAGCTGAGATTGCACCACTGCGTTCCAGCCTGGGTGACAGAGCAAGACTGTCTCAAAAAAAAAAAAAAAGAATATGCTGGCTGGGCATGGCGGCTCACGCCTATAATCCCAGCACTTTGGGAGGCCAAGGCAGGAGGATTGTGTGAGTTCAGGAGTTTGAGACCAGCCTGGGCAACATAATGAGACCCTGTCTCTTTTATTAAATAAATAAACAAACAAATGCTGAACTCAAAGGTAGAAATACCACCAGATCAGTTTTGTTTTGTTTTGTTTCTTTGAGTTGGAGTCTTATTCTGTCACCAATGCTGGAGTGCAATGGCGAGATCTCGACTCAGTGCAACCTCTGCCTCCCGGATTCAAGCAATTCTCCTGCCTCAGCCTCCCGAGTAGCTGGGATTACAGGCACTGACTTGGGGTCTTATACATTGGCATACTTCTGGTTGCTTCTGGTCTCTTCTCCCTGATTCTTCCCATGGGGTGGGCTGTTGACATATGCAGTGGTCTGCTGGCACTTGGGAGGGGCCACATGCACATTGTGTTTACTGAAGTTGTACACATGCTCATTTGAGGTGTTTTTCCTTTACCAGTTAAGTGTTTAAACTCTGCCATTTTGCCTCTTAGTTTGCATGCTTGAGCCCACTCACCTAGCTCCTGAGATCTTATCAGGAAGCTGCTGATCGCCAGTTTTAAGTTTTTTCTGTCTGGTGGGAGACTGCCTTTCCTTGGTGCTGGCTGCAACCAACTATTATTTTAGAGAGACAGTTTAACAAACCGCCTGACCATCACCTGATGGTCACCTGACATTCCTGGTAGGGATTGAGGGAGCCTCTTCCCTGCCCTGCTCATATCTGACTACCTACCTACTGTAACACTAATGCATAAATCTATACAAGTGTTGGGGCTGAGAAAACAATAAGCTCAAAACATGGCTTTTTTTTTTTAAACAAAGCTTCACTCTTGTTGCCCAGGCTGGAGTGCAATGATGTGATCTTGGCTCACCGTAATCTCTGCCTCCAGGGTTCAAGCGATTCTCCTGCCTCAGCCTCTCAAGTAGCTGGGATTACAGGCATGGCATTTTGACATGCTGAACTGAAGAAGAAGCCTCAAGGTCTCTCTAACCTCCTTGCCCCTCCCCACTATCTCTCCCAAGGAAGTTGAAGTTTCTTTATCTGCCTAAGATCCCAGATACACCAAAGAGAACAGTTGTTTTTACTTCCTTTCCCTGTAAGATCAAGAATGTAACCACACCTAAACAGACCATTTCACTGTCAAAGAGAACTATTTCCAACTAAATCTCTATTCCCAGATCCATTGATTCTCCCTAGTAATCCCCTCAATAGAATCTATTCCCCATCTCATAACCTGTTTGGCCAGGATCCAAGCCCCCATTGTTTCTGTAACTTTAAGATGGTATATAAGCTCCTCATCGAGGGGGTCTTCATTCTGAAGGCTTCCATATATACATATTGATTAAATTTGCATAACATTTGCATACCTTTTCTCTTATTAATCAGACTGCCTCATGTCATTGATTTTTCAGTGAACCTTTAGGAGCCAACAGCTTTATCCTCCACACAGGCAAAATCCAAAAAGGATTCATGACCCACTAGAAATCTCAGAGGCTTCTTGTCAAGATCTCAAGAGTCCCTCCATCTCTACACAGCACTCAAATTTCAAGAAGCTAGGTGAGTGTTGCCTTTCTTATCCTACAAATTAAAAACTAAGATACAGATTTGTATTTCTAGCAAATAGTCAAGGCAGCACAGGACTCCTTTTGATAACATCTAGGACTTGTTTAGGGCCTCCTCGCATAAATGGTTGGGCAGTAGAAGTTTGTGTTCTGCTGGGTCTTCAAAGTTATTATCATATATCCAACTAATTCTTTCTCCAGACTTTTCTCAAACCAAGACTCTTTTTTTTATTTTTTGAAACGGAGTCTTGCTCTGTCACCAGGCTAGTGTACAGTGGCAAGATCTTGGCTCACTGCAACCTCTGACTCCCTGGTTCAAGCAATTCTCCTGCTTCAGCCTCCCGAGTAACTGGGATTACAGGCATGCACCTCCATGCCCAGCTAATTTTTGTATTTTTTAGTAGAGAAGGGGTTTTACCATGTTGGCTAAGGTGGTCTCAATTTCTTGACCTCATGATCCGCCCGCCTTGGCCTCCCAAGTGCTGGGATTGGCGTGAACCACCACGCCTGGCCTTAAACCAAGACTCTACACCTGAAACTCAGCTCCTTCTTTTCCACTTTCTACCTCTAATTATTAGTGAAGTTCAATCCATTCTACCTACTCAGTGTGTCTCCCATTCATTTGTTCTCTCATTTCCTAGTTCAGATCTTTTCAGATAGGCTTGAACAATTGCAAACTTCAAACTGGTCTTGCCGGGCGCGGTGGCTCACGCCTGTAATCCTAGCACTTTGGGAGGCCGAGGTGGGTGGATCACCTGAGGTCAGGAGTTCAAGACCAGCCTGGCCATCATGGTGAAACCCCATCTTTTTTTTTTTTTAAAAAAAAGCTTAATTTAGTTTCCCTTATCCAAAATGCTTGGAATCAAAAGTGTTCAGCTTTCCAGTTTTTTGGGGGGGTTTTGGAATATTTGCTTATGCACA